ATATATATATATATATATCCTATAAAATTGAATATTAGCTATATATTTACATAGCCACCAATTTTAGCTGATTAAAGTTGGTGGCTATGTAAACGTGAATTTGGCCTGTAATGTCTTACATTATGTTTCTCATATTTGATAAAATTCCAAAATTAATCCATTCACATAAGAATTTTGTGCTTAAATTTTTATCAAAAAATTATTTGAAATTAAATTTAAAATTATTTTAAAAGCCATTCGAACTCCGATCGCATCAAATTTATAGCTGAGATAACACAATTGCAGGGATTAGAACAAATGATTGAACTATTTTAAGATATATGATTTTTATTTTTTCGTTCTTGCCCTCCATATAAATATGTTGTCTTAGGCTTCGTTTGGGACACTTTCTGCTTATTGATTTCTAAATCAACTTTTAATATAAAAATTTTTAAACTAGTAATTTTTTTTTAAAAAAAATTACTTTAAAAAGTAATAGAAATTTGTAGCGGCTTCAATTGGGATAGCTCTCCATATAAATATGTTGTCTTAGGCTTCGTTTGGGACACTTTCTGCTTATTGATTTCTAAATCAACTTTTAATATAAAATTTTTTAAACTAGTAATTTTTTTTTTAAAAAAATTACTTTAAAAAGTAATAGAAATTTGTAGCGGCTTCAATTGGGATAGCTTTTCGCTTACTGTTTTCTAAATCATCTTTTTAGTACAAATTTTTCTTTAAAAAACTGTTTTAGGAAGCAATAAGAAAGCTGTCGCAGTCAAAATCTTAGGAATACACAATTCTCTTTTTTCTATTTTTGGTTGAGATACTATCTTAAGCTAAAATATAAATTCCAATCTTTGCTAATATAATTTTTTTTTATACGTGAAAGTTTAGGCGCCTTAGATGTTTTCATCACATAAAATGGCTTGATTCTAGATTTCCATCAGAAAATTTTTAAATAGTAATATTTCCATGCTTAGTCAGGATTGTTCGACAAGTTTAATGGATACATGGAATAGATCTAAAACCAAATACATGGAGTGTAATTTTAATAATAATAAATTTAGTGGGGGAATGTGGCTCTTGGTGATCAAGTCATTAAAAAGAGTACATGTTTCATATATCTTGAATCCATTGTTTAAAGAGACGGCGAAATAGATGAGGATATTACAAATAGAATTCAAGTTGGCTGGCAAGTGGAGGAATGCATTGAGCCTTTTGTGTGATAGAAAAGTACCTCTAAAGTTTAAGAAAAAATTTAATAAGATGGTGATGAGCTGTGCAATGCTTTATGATGCTAAAAGAAGATAAAATTGAGTATTGGAGAGATGAGAATGCTCGATGAGTGGCTTTACACATAGAGATAGCTAGGGGTGTAAATTGGGTTAATGGCAAATTCGGGTTGAACTAGAGTTGACCTAGGTAAAAGGGTTGACCTGAACCCGACCCGTTTAGCTAAACGGGTCAGGATTGTCATCCCGGATCGGACCTACGCAAGTTATCGGGTTGACCCGACACAACTCGCCAAACTGCACTTTTTTCGAATTTAGAGTTTAAAGTTTAAATGGCTGGGTGGCTGTCACTGTGACAGCGTGGTGATTGGTGAAGGCATGATGACCGAGGTAGCCAGGTCGAGGTGCTACCTCGTGCGGGTGTGCCGCTACCGCAGTGCTGGGTTGACCGGCTGAATGAGTGAATGCCGATGACGTTGATAGTGTTGTGACCGAGGCGACTAGGCGTGGACGTGTGGTTAAGAGTTGATCGGCTGAACAAGTCGTTGGCTAAAGGCAAACAGGTTAAGGCAGTCAGGTGGGTTGGGTGCGTGCTAGCGCCTAGCAAGCTAGGCTCGCTCCTGGCTGGGCGTGAGTCACGTGACGTGCGACTATGGCACTCATTGCGGAAGCCGAAGCAGGCTTGGATGGGCTAGGTTAGGCTAACAGACTCGGACCTGGGTTAATTTCAGGTGATTTCAGGTTTCCAGGTCAACCTAAACCTTATCCGTTTTTTCAGACGGGTCAAAAATCCAAACTTGGGCTTGACCCGTTTTACAAACGGGTTGATCCAAACCCAATTTTTTTCGGGTCAGATTTGTTAAGGAAGTTAATTACATCGCTATGTATCTTGTACCAATGGCTAACTTACACGTGTACTCTATTATACTAGAATAGGTTATATATAGGCCTCGGCTGTTTGTATGAAGTAAGGAAAAACAATAATAAAAGTTTCAGTTTTCTCTTCTTCTTTCTCCATCTGCTACCGCTGTTCAAGAAGTCTCAACTTCTACAAGATTTGGGTCAAGTTTCTAATCTTGTCAACTTTTGACACCCCTACTTAGAAATAGGATGCAAAATGAGTATATACGTTTCATTTCCATCATGCTTTCAGATGAACTGCCAAAGGCATTCCAACAAGAATTCAGTTTGATAAAAAAGTTCACCAAAATTGTAAATAAATCTTATTTCTGTGTATAAAAGAATTCTGTATCCCTCTTCAATGTACACCGCGCAATTACATCAAATCCCCAAAACAAAAAGAATCAAAAAGGCCTCTTAAGCCCTTTAAAATCCGCACTGTCAATGCATTCTGTCGACCTTCCTCTGACGCCATTCAACATCCTCAAAAGTTCACTAACCTTCTCTTTAGTGCTTTCACTGCAGCCCACCTGCAGTATCAGTAACAACTTCTGAAAAGCTCCAACTTCCACCGCCTCCTTCAGACACTTCTCCTCTTCACCCTTCCCCACATTTCCTTGCTTCTTGCAGAGCTTCCATGTCGCCGACACTGCGAACTCGGTTGCCATATCTGATACTCTAACCATCTTCTTCACTAACACCGGTATAGCGAGGTCATGGCAGGCAGCCATCTTCCTCCCTGCCTCCGTGCTCAGAATTACGTCGAGTACCGCCAGTCCTTTCTCACAGAAACTCCTCTCGGAATCAACAATCATCTCCAATATCAGAGAGACAATTCCCATCTCGGCAAGCCTCGATGCAGCTCTCTTGTGACCGGAAGCCAAGTAGTAGGCGGCGACAAGCGACGCCTTTGTTGCCGCCGGCGAAATAGGCTCCTTGAGAAGCTTCACAAGTGCTTCAATTAACTCATCACTTCTTGCAATTATTCCACAGTCTTCATTGTTTGCTGAAACCATCTCTTTTACAACTAACACAGCATTGAGCCTTCCTGAGAGATTTCCATTCTTCATGACAGAAACAATAGAGTGAAGAGATTTCTCAGAAACCAGCTTCCTTCGAGCTGCTTCATCAAATGACAACATTCCAGCGAGCGCTGACAACACCTGCTCGGAAGGGAAATCCTGAAAAACTGCCGAAACCACCCGCGAGGCGCCGTTCGACGATATGCACCGCCGGTTCCTGTCGCTTTCCGAAGCCCAATTGTTTAGTTTAGCCACCAATTCGGCGCATTGGGTGGCATTGCCTCTGAAATGAGCGGCCGAAATCTCTGAAAGCAAGTCATTGACTTGGACGGAGGTGATGGGGGTCTTGGGAGTAGCGATACGTTCGATGCCAAGGGAGCGGTGGGCGACGCACCAGTCTTGGATCATACGGCGGATGGTGTGGTTGGGGATGAGATCGGCGGCGAAAAGGGGCTTCTTTGTGACAGGGCAGGTGACATTTCCAGCTTCGAGCCAGGTTTCGATGCTCGAACGGTCGAAGGTGATGCCGGAGGAGAGGATGACGGGATCTTTCATTAGGTCCAGGGAGATGGGGCAGAGGAAGTGCGACGGGATAGAGAGCTCAGCGGGGGAATCTCTGGCGATGGCGGGGATGGGTCGCCGGCGGAAAGGAAGCTTTGAGGTGAGCTTGAAGGACCTGAGAGCCATTACCGATAGAGAGGAGAAGGAAAGAAGGATTGTTATTGTTGTGGATGTTTGAGTTGAGGTTTGCAGTTGGGAGAGTGGAGGGGAGGTATTTGAATGAGGGGAAAGAACGCGGCGGGGGTTCACGCGGAAAAATTCAACGTAGAATTTTTGGTCGACCGTTCGGGGTTTGAATTTTGACCGTTGAATATGTGAACACTGGGCGATAACGGTCACATGGTCCGATTTTTGACTCGGTTGGGTAGGTGGAGGTCGGTCCATTTATTCATCGAATTTATTAAAATAAAATTATTATTTTTGGGAAATAAAAAATTATATCTGATACAAAATATATAAAAATAAGGCTATTTTTAATTATATATTTCTAATTTTTCTTTTTATATGTCATCTTCTTATATATTATCATTGATACATCATCAAAAATTTATCTTGACCAGGCACAAATCTTGGGACAAATTTAAGATGAAAACTTTCAAAATTAAATATGGGACTATTCAAGCTTCGATTTCCGCAAACTTATAGTATAATTGAACACCTCAAAAAGGCAAACCCAGACATCAAATTCGATCAAATACGAGCCTAAATAGGTCCAAATTGAAGATCCGAAGCATTTGGATAGTTCAAACTATAAATTGGACAACCAAATAATTTTCAAACACGACATGCTTATAATCAAATCAAGTAGATTAATGAGACGAATCCAACGAGCTCAAGATCACTGAATTCTGATGTTCTGAAGATACTCAAATACTTGATAAATGCTACGATCAAGGGAGTAGATATTGGTCGTCCATTCAGAAAACTCCCAACATACACTTAATCTTCTCGAATGGTAAATACTACGATGAGACGAATCCACCGGCTATGTACCGCCATGACTAGTGAACCACTAGCCACCGCTATTTCCACCAACTACTGTTGTTAGCCACCACCACCCCCATTGCCAACCACCAATTACCACAATCTTTTGGCTTTACACTGCATTCGTTTTATTTCAAATCAAACAAAATATTTGTATACTTTGATTAACATACAATCAAATTATATATATGTTAAAAGTTGTTGGGGATAAGGAGTAAAACACCACAACAATCAAACAAGCAAGAAAATGAAAGTAGTGAAAGTAAAGGACAACATGATTTAACATGGAAAAACTCAAAAAAAAGAAAAAAAAAAAAGAAAAAAGCACAGAGCCACGCCATACCAAAAAATCGAATATAAAAACTGGAAAAAATAAGTACAGATCTCTCGCCTCTCTAGCTCTCACCTTCTCTTCTTACATGCACCGTTCGCAAAGTTTGTACATACAAAAATATAAGAGAAATCCAAGTAAAATCATCCCAAGGGATGCAACCCTCCACAAAAAAGAGAAATAAATCTGTCCAGTCTGTCTCACAGTGTAGCGGTGCCAATTTGGAGTACTGCGGTGCTTGAACATCTGTCTTGATCTACTGCAATGTCGTATATATACCACTGTGGCACTATGCTATTTGTTGTTCAGCGATGGGTACTCGGAAATACAGCGTTGGTGCACTTGGGTATACAACATCGAGACATTGAATGGAGAAAAAAAATTGGATGTAAAGCTTGCAAACCCAAACAAGCTAAGGGGTAAACCCCCACACCCCACTAAGAAGCACGACAAACTTGAGGTTCGACGCAATAGAACAACCTGATTGATCAATACAATCAAATTCCACACATAACAAAAATATATGTATTATTATTAATTTATATGTTTAAAAAACACATATTTTAAACCAACTAAAAAGCTCCTAATTATGATAATTTTGATACTTTTAATCCCATTTTTAAAAGGAGTACTTTATAAACAAATTATTATTTAAAAGCACAAACAAAAAAGGGAGAAAATGCCATGTCATTGGGGGTGCTTGCATAAACATGGTTCAAAATAACTCACAAATTTTTTATCTATATGAGCTCTAAAAGATGTAAGCATAAATATACTATTATAAGCTTTAATCTTATTTCCAAATTCTTTTGATTTATACGTAGATGAATCAAAAAGACTTGGTTAGAAAATATTAGGAATGACATTTATTTATTAGATTTAAACTAGAATTTGACTTTTAATATGGCACAATGGAGAAAAAGGATTCATGTAGCTGACCCCACGTAGTGGGATAAAGGCTTGTTGTTGTTGTTGTTGTTGTAGATGAGGTGAATAACTCATAAAATTGTTCATGAATATTTGTTGGAGCTAGCATGACCTCTCCATTATAACAACAAAATGTTGGCGGCTCAAATTGAAATATTCTTGCATCACAATAACAACATAAATATGATTATTGTAGAAAATGTAATTCTGACATACTCAAATCATAGATATCTTTTTCTTTGTACTTTCATATCAAATGTATTTATCAAATTGTTTAGATATCCGTAAATATACAATTAATAATATACTTAACTAATTGCATTCGCCTTATTCAAAACACCAAGAAATATTAATATTTAAAAGCTAAAAGATAAGAGTATTATGATACTATTTGTTGCGGACTAGAATATACGCGGCGGTAGAGTTAAAAAATTTTCGTCTGAGCGTTGTACGAATATCTAGCGTACACAAACAGAAGATAAAATAACACAAGGATTTTCAAGTGGAAAACCCTGTAAAGGGAAAAAACCACGAGGCCTCACCCAGTTGAAAACAATTCTACTAGTATTCGTTTGAAGTACAAAAAGGCTGACTCGTCCGCAAAAGTTAGGACAATCAGATTACAATGAGTTTATTCTGAATTGAGATTCAGTTACAAAGTTGAGAAGAGTTCCAGCGTCACCCGGACGTCCGACAGGATTTCGGCGTTACTCAGGCGGCGGGAAGAACCCCGGCGGTAATCGAGGAGGAGCTGTTCTCTCATCTCCTTCTCTTCTCTTCTTCTCTTCTTCTCTTCTTCTCTTCTTCTTTTCTTCATCTTACTTGGGTTCCTCTTATGAGAAATAAGGGGTATATTTATAATTTTTCTAGAGTGACATAGCTCGTAAATAGGTGTGAGATCATGGGCAAATAGGGAGTGGTCGAATGAATGACTGATATTGAATCCCTTGATTGTGCACCGTTCATCAGAGATTTGAAGGCCTTAGTGATGTTGGAATTCAATGATCTTGGGCTCGTTGGATTCGTCTCGTCGAGCCGTTCGATTCGACTATAAGCTCGTTAAAATCGAAGACCGTTTGGTAACTCAAATTGTGGTACGAGCTTTCCAACAGCGCTTCAGGTACTCGATTTTGGCTCATTTGGGCTCAGATTGAGTTGAATTTGGTGTCGTTGGGTTCGTATTTCCGAGACGCTCAGTTTGACTATAAGATCGCTGAAATTGGAGCTCAGGAGCTCCCAGATTTAATTTTTAAAGTTTCCGGCTTGATTTTGCCTCGAGATTCGTGCTGGATCAAAACAATTTTTGAGGAATATATCACTATTAAATACATATTGCAAAAGTTTTCAAAGTGTATCCACACTATTCTCACTCTGAGAACTTAGGTGATTATGATGATTGCACAAGAAGCACCAATTGAGATTAAGGCCATTGCAGAAGATAGTTACCATGTTATGCTGTCTTCTACAATGAATTTACTGTTTCAATTTGAAGAAGAGAGGAAGTTAATGATAATTTTTTTATTATTGTAGGAGGTTCTATAATAGCTCATCTTTTGCAGGCTCCTGAAGATTACCTACCAGTCCTATTAGGTTTGGCTAAGGATGGTAGTTTTGATGATATAATGATGGAAAATTAGTTTGTTCTTGTAGTTATATTTAGGGGTGTTAATTTTGAGTCATGGGTCGGGTTCGGGTCGAACCCGAAATTGGTCTGACACTATTCGAGTCAACCCGAACCTGTTTTTGCAAACGGGTCGGTTTTCCGGAAACCTGACCCATTTCAGGTCCGGGTCAACACGACACGGCCCGAATGACCCGAGACCATGAAAAAAAACTAATTTTCGGGTTAAAAAGCGGGTCAATTTCCTCTTTTCGGGTAAAAAACAGGTCAATCTCGAGTTGCCAGATCAAAAATGGGTTTTCGGGTAAAAAACGGATCAATTTCGAGTCAAAGGGTCAACCTGAAAACCGAACCGATTTTTGAAACGGGTCAAATTGTTGGATCCGAACCCGACCCATTTCGGGTTCGGGTTGACCCTAACCCGAAATTTTTGTTTCGGATTCAAGTCGATTTTTCGGATCTTGTCAAATATTGACACCCCTTTATATAACCCCACAAACATACTAACTCGTCATTCTATTCATTCCCTCTCAAGAAAAACTGTTCAAAGTAATTTTATTCGTTACCCTATCAAGAAAAACTTTTGATAAACTGAAGGGAATGCAGAAGGTACTAGGTTGATAAACATGGCTGCAATTGGCCGAAGGAGCGATCGGAAGAAGCTAATTGTACAGCTTTGCTCCTCGGAAGGAAATACACTACTTTTCTCCTTCCAAATCAAGAGCTGGTTCTTTTTGTAAATAGAGCTATTATATCATTTTATTGTCATTAAAATTAAATCTCTGTTAAAATATATTAATATAAATTAAATTTTTTTATTATTTATTTTATATTTTAATGTAATAAATTATACATATTTATGTAAGTTTTATGTAAAAATTTCATTCATGCCTTCACTAAAAATTAATACATATTTAAAACAAAGTGTTATTTAATTTGGCAATATACTAACTGTTAATTAACTTGAAAAATAATTATAGTTCTAATTTTAATTTATGAAATTATTTAAAAATTAACAAAAATATTTCAAACTGTAAACATTATAGTTGTACAAGAGAGAAAAATTCAAGTGTAAATACATTATTTGAGTTGAGACAAAAAGCTCCATTTGAACTCCACACTTAGAGGTGTCAAAATCGGGTTGCGGATCTGGTTCAGATCGAACTTGGAACTGGCCCGACGCTATTTGACACAATCCGAACCCTACTCATTTTTACAAACAGGTCGAGAAATTCAACTCGGACCTGACTAGGTCAAGTTTCCGGTTTGACCCAACCCTACACGGATTTTGATCGAAGAAGCACACGAAT